TTCTAAAGTGCAAGTAAGCCACAGCTACTTGCTTTTTCCCCCTCCTATTTTTGGCGAGGTCTTGCCTAGTTTGTTTGGGTTTTTTAAATTAAAATCGCTGTTTTACAGTTGTTACTAAATAACATTTCAAATTTTCCATTCTAGGAAAAGCACAACAGAATGACCAGGCAACAAAAAACAATCACTGGTAGGCTTTAAAGCTGCAGAGGGAGGAATTTCCCCGACTTCTAACCAGAACAAACCTTCATTTGTTTTGAAAAGACAAGCAGAAAAGTGAGCTAAAGGTGAAGACAGATTGTTGAAACATAAAATTAAGTGAACGTGTTGCACATGCAGATTACAAAGCAATATTAGATGCAGGTTAATGAAACATTCAAGATAGAGAAGTTCATGGCAGAGACATTTAACATATTTCAACATGTTTTTCTTACAGCACATAGTGAAATTATCAATGATAATTCTGAAGAAACTTCCAAGTCCATGATATTCCACATCCTTGTACCTGGATGTCCAGAACCTCTACTTGAGTGACCAGCCATTCTCTTTAACTTTTCACTGGATAGCCCAAAGGTTTAAAAATGACAGATTGAATCCAGGAGGCAATCAAGGTATTATAAATATCCCTCTCCAACTTCTTCCATGGCTTAGTTCTATAAAAATTAAATTTTATAAACAACTTTATGCACAGTACTCAATTATTCTAATTTGTTTTCAAAATTTGGATAATACAAGATATAAAGACATAAATGGAAGTAAGGATATTTATTGAAGAACAAAATTTCAATATAAGAATGGAAACTTGAATCTAAAAATCCTAAAATACAATCTAAGTTATGAATGCAGAATTAATACTTGTGTCATTCTAGCCTGTCAGAATCTCATATAAAAGCAAAATGGGGGAAAAAACCAAAAAAATCCAACAAAAGAAAAAAAACAAAACAACACACTACTCCCAAAAGACCTCAAGAAGTCATTTTGGTAGACACATATAGAATCATACAGATGCCCCTGTTATTGCACAAAGTCAAGAATAAGACTTTTGGGCAATTATATTTATAAAACTGAGTACAGAAGCATATTTTCTTTGAATATATTAGGACTCCAAAAGGAACCACAGAAATTGGAAGAATATGTCTTACAGTCTTTGTCAAAAAAAATCAAACAAAAAACCCTAAACCTTTTGTTTACAATTCTTTGCAAAAAATATCCAAGATGAAGATAAAGCCTTTGAATTTAACAAAATAAACCCAATAACAAACCCCAAAAAACCCTCAGGCAACACTTCAGCCTGAGTTAAATAAAAACCCAGGATTTTGCACGTTTATCTTGCTTTCCAAGAAAGAGTACAGAAAAAAATGCCAACTGATTAATACTCTGTTTTTCATCTTCATTCACCCCCATAATCAAGAAGAATTGCTTTTCAAAGTAATAACTGATAAACTCACAAAAGCATCGTAACAAAGTATCTGAAAACAGCGACCAAAGCAGAGCACACATACCCTACAAAAGCAGGGACTCAAAAGATATAACTATTTTATTTCAACAGAAGTCTTAACATGACAATTTAAATCCAAGAGAAGAAAGGAGTCAAAATATTTGTCTGTTCAATAGTTACCACAAGCAGTAGGGCAGAAGACTTCCCTACATACATTTAACACGACAAAGCCTTTCTTCTCCTGTAAACACCTCTTCTTAGGAAAACGAGCACAAGCCAACCTTTAATATTTGAAAGTGCTACAGCAGAACACGAGAAAAATAGGAAAGAGCATGAAACTTATCCTAAACAGCTGAACAGTGCAAAAGCATTATTTTAACACCTATTATCTGACTACAGATTTTTTTGAACATGCAATCTCAGTGTGACTGCCTGCAAATATATTTTTCTAATGTGGGTGAAACAATGGAAAATAAGATTTCTTACTTGGATTCTACTGCTTATTACCATTTGACTGGTACCACACGAGGATGGGGTTTTGCCATTTTCTGCATAACTGGACTACTCTGAACTAAACGCACAAGAACAATAAAAGGTTTGTTTTCTGTAGCTGCAGTTTCAAAACTGTACTAACTACTCAATTTCTCTGGATATTGTTGCTTGTTAAAAGGGACAGAAGTACAAGAAACAGCTTGGCTCCAAAGTGACTATTATAACAGACATTGGTACCCCTACACATGCTATTTTTTTGGTAATATCACTAAAGACACTGCTGCACTGTACTGATTTAAAGCAAGGTCAGATGTGTAGCACTCCCCCTGAGAATAACACCCTTCCAAGAGCAATCAGAGTGAAGTGGACAAAAACTGGGAAGCAAAGTACTGCAAAAAGCAGCCCCCAAAGGAGCAGAGTACAAATCCTCTCTTCCCATTACCAGAAGGAATGCTGTAAACGGAATATCAGAAATATCTGTGAAAAAGAAACTCTGCAAAATAATGGCAGGTTAGCTTCAAAAAGTTCACATTTCCACCACAAGTAATTTTTTAATAAATGCTACAATACTCCATAATTACTTGGGGTTGGTTGACTGTAAGGGTGTAGGCAGTTTGGTTTTTGAACTTCTCTTATATGGGGAGTAGGGGAAGAGGGGAAGAACAAACTTCTTGCACATCCTTTTGAAAATTACTCAAATCCCTCAAGAGAGCCTAATCATGAAACCCACTTTGATTCCAACAAATAAAAAAGACAGATCCTATCATACCTTATACAAACAAGAAATAAAATAATAAATATTATTTATTCTATTTAGGTATGGCCAAGTAGTATAGAAAACTATTAAACATTATTTAAAATACAAAATAAACCCATGCTGGTAGAAGTATCTCTCAAAATGTTAATTAAATTAATTTAAACTTAAAATATATTTACCATTAATATGAAATTCAATCTTGAAATCTGTAGTGAAAACTAAAACTTATGGAAGTGGACAACATTAAACCACTGTACATATCACAACTTCAATACACAGTACTAGTGCTGTAATAGCTAAAGAACGGAGGAGAAAAAAACATATGAATTCCTATCATTAAACACCAGACTGCAGTAACTCCTTCTGTACTGGAGAAACCACTTGCTGTTATGGCAGCCTGACCCAAAAAAAATCCCAAGAAGTAATAAGCCTTCCTAACAAAATCCTCACAAATAAAAGGAGCTTTGTACTCAATATTCATAAAGTAGGCTTACTATTCAGTTTCCTTTACTACAATGACTTAATTCTGGAAGACAAATTCCTCAAGAGGGAATCCAGTTTTCCAGTTTCTGCATCAATGAAATAATTTCAGTCTGCATTGTGGTGCTCATTTTTTATTTTATATGAAATTTTAAATGTAAACAAGCACAGTAACTTACAGGGAAGTTCAGTTAATAATATAACATGCTTGTTACTGGAAAAAATATCTTTTTACTTCATAATTTTTTCAGTGTCACAAAACTTGAAAATTTATAATTTATTTCGTACTGCAAAAATTATTCTCAAATTTAAATGAAAATAAATCCAATTTCTAAGCAACTTTTCAAAAATAATAAAAATAAATTTTGATCTGTGACCTTTTAAGGTCACATTTGAAGTACAAGGTTTGAATGCATGATAAGACAAGCTTAGAATAGAAACACTTTCATGTACTGGCAGAACTCCCAGCTATATCAGGCTGCATAAAACAGAGATGGAACAAAGCAGCAGAATGTTTCTGCCTGCATAAGACTGTCAAGAAAAGGATATCCAGTTTCTATACACTACATAACAGACCGAGGAAGACTAGGATTATAATTATACCAAGTATTATATTAGTCACCAATTACAATTAACACCCATTCTGTAGTTCTGTTGCCCTTCAGAATGCTGAGATTCTTTGGAGGGACTCCCGTATTCACAACACTGCAAATTGATTCAGTTGATTACATGAGTTTTCTATAAACCATGAAGGGATTAAACAAATGAATACACATCCTCCCCAAGACTTGCTTGTTTCTCCAGATAAAAGTAGGAAAAATAAAATTATGACAAGCTGATTTTTATGGAGTATGAATTTGAAACAGCAAACCATAACATCCTAATGTACTACCAATAACTTTGACTAGTTTGATACTTTCCATTTTGTCCTCTGCTCAAGTGTTAGTTACTGTGCTGGGGGGTTCATTGCTTTGTTCATTTGTTTAATTCTACAGGTTTGTATGCTCAGTAGAGGTTTAAATTTGAACAAACCAAGTAAAGAAAATCTAAAGAAAAGTAAACTTAAGTAAAATTTCTACAATCAGGTATGCAAGAAGTATCTATCCAAGGCTTGACTGAAGCTAAAGAAAGGCAGTGCTTTGAAAGATGTAAGTAAACAATATCATAAAGCATGTCTAGAGGTTGAAATATTGAAATTTCCCTTTGAAGATACACAGTGAGCAGAAAGACATCTCACAAGTTACAAGGAACAGAAGCCTAAACCCCGTGTTTTGATGCTAGAGAAGAAAAATTCATGCCAAACTGTTTCTGAAGGGCAAAAAAAAAAAAATGAACAGACTTGTGGAGAATTCAGAATAGAGGAAAGACAATACAAAAAATACACTACACAAATAGTTACCTGAGAAATACAAAGGCACGTTTAAAATAATTTTTAAATGGACCTGGCTTAACATAAACAATGTTTTCATTCTAGACAGACCTAGAAGCATCTTAGGTTCTGCATCTGATAAATTTATTGATTATCACAACCATCTTTCAGCATTCAGTACAGTAGCATCAACCACCTAACTTCAAAATCATCCTGTAAGATTAAATGCTTTCCACTAGCATTTCCATATTAGAAGGAAAATAACAAAAATTGCTGTCAGGTACACACCCAATCCTACAACTCACATTAAAAAGAAAAAACCCATCACAATGAAATCAATTTAAGTTTTTAAACCAGGAAAAAACAAACAAATGAACCAGAAATATTGTTTTGACTTAAAATAAAAAAGCAAAACATGAACATGCCAACTAAATCATATAGATTGTTCCACCTGTATTTGTACTTACCTAGTAATACTTTAGCATCTTCCACATCAAAATCTCCATCTCCATCAGCATCATATATCCCAAGCTTGCCTAGAAGTGCAAAAAGAGGAAGAAAAGACAATTAGGGATTTGGCCTTTTGTATCCAGCACAATTTTCAATGTGTGATTGTTGACCGTCAATGTTAGGTTGTTATCATATGTTTTTTAATAATCTAGCTGTAATATTCTTAACCACATTTTAAATTTTCTGGGAAATACTACAAATATTTCAAGTTTCTTTCTGTATTTCCTGCATTTGACACCAAATACAAGTTTGTCTTTTTCCTGCGTTGATTTTGCAGCCGGCAGATTTAAAGCAAGTCTGTAATATGACATGGACATGTTTTGCTGAGAATACTATTTAAGTTCACAAGAAACATTCAACATGTTTGAGGGGGAAAAAATAAAAAACTCATAAAATAATGGCCATTTGTTTTCTGATTACATGTTTCCTGCAATTCTAAATTCTCAGAAAAGAAATAGCTATATAGTATATAGTTTTTAGTGCCATGTTAACAGAAAGTAAGCAGCCTACTTCCCAGACAAAGGAAAACCATTCACAAATTCTACCACCAATGTATAACCTTCCATGCAGACAAAAAAAGTTGTCCATCCTTTCATGTAAGACTAACAAATCAGTTTTCTCAATTTTTGTTTTTGAAACTGAAGCTCTATCAGCCCAAAGTATATGCAAAAGGAGAACTCAGTTTCTATTAAAAGAGAATTTTCAGCATAGAAGCATGGTATCCAGGATTTAAAGTATCCTGGGACCACCAAACTAGTAGAGAGTTATCTAATTATAGGCTTGATAAAATTCAGACACTACTTTTAACAGGATCAAACTCTGCAGAGCTTGTAGAACTTTGTGTCCTTATAGTCTGACAGTTTATTACACTGTCATTCTCTAAACAGAGGTAGAACTTTCTTGCTATCAAAATAAATTAAATACAGTTCTTAATATGAAAAACTTAGAAAGAACTTCTAACTTAGAAAATTAGGAAACAATTTTGTGGAAGAAAAAATTCAGACTTGGGTCTAGAATAGAAAAATATGGAAGCAACACATTAGAAAGGAGCCATATCTGTTTATGGATAAACACAGCAGACTGGTGCAAAAATGTAACTCTCTAGAAATAAGAATTATATCATCTTCAAAACCATGAAGAATGAGACAGATGAGAAATGGCTGAGTTTCATGTCATTGCAGAAGAAAAGGAATTCTTAAAAAAAATTAAAACCATAATAAAGTAAACCAAAACTTTCAGCCAAGGGACTGTAACACAAGTTTATTTCTCTAATATCCTACCTTGTAGGACCTCTGACAAGTTATAACGGAAATCCTTTGCTTTGGCTGCATGCATGGTAAAAATACAAAACACATTATTTACATCACTAGACCCAGTTAAGTTTCAAATCAGAAGATTTTTTTCTGAAAAAAAACCAGTCCAGATCAAAAAAAAAAAAAGGCATGTACCAATAGATTTGTAAATTTTGTAAAGCCACCAGTGAAAAAGTGCATGTTGAATCCTACAACATCAGGGAAAACAGCCGTACCTACAGACATACACCTTGAAATTTGAGATATTAATTTGTAACCTTAAATATTATATTAACAGTAATGTCATAAAATTGTCATATTGAGATAGAATTATCACCACCATAAGCTTAAAACTGAGGTCATTCAACATCTCACTTGTGAGAGGATGACAGAGCAGTTGTCCTGACCCTACAGGCATCACAGTCCATCAGAGCAGAGCTAACATTAGCTGCCTGCTTTCTACCACTGCTGCAAGCTTCTGAGAGCTTAAATTCAAACTGCATATTTAGCTGACCTCTCAAATTAACTACAGTATACATGCTACAAAGACATCCCTACAGGAGGTTAATACCGTTTTATGAGAACCCCATTTTAACATCATAATAGTGCTCAGCATTAAAACATATATTTTGAACTACACTGCCTATTCTTATAATGTAGATAATTTACAAACACTACAGTAGACATCATCTATCTAAAAACATAAAATGGCATTCATTTAATGCATATCATAATACTATTTAAAAAATCTTAATATTTAGAATTCTTACCGAGAACTTCTTCATAATCTACAAGTTCAAACCAGACAACTGCTACTGATGTCCAAACTCCCAGCAAAGCAATTACCATAAACCAGGTGAAAAATGAGCTTCCAGAGAGGCCTTCTTTCTTTCCATTCTTGCTTCCTCCATGCTTAGTCTCTGTTAAAATAAAACAAGAATCAAAAATTGAGGTAAGAGTTAGAAAATTATCATTGAGGATACAATTATAAAACTTGGTGCTCATGATTAAACAGAATACAAGACATATCAGCAACAATGGTGGGTTTTGTTGTTGTGAAGTTTTTTGGTTGTTTTTTTTTTAAACTTTACCACCTTTACTTGTTTTCCATTTCACTGAATTACTGTGAGAAGCTTGATGATTATGTAAGCAAAAGCCTCATAACCAACCAAACACCAAAAGCCCCCATATAATTTGTCTCATAAGTTAGCTGAAAATTCTGCCTTGCTCCCCCTTTGATCTCTGTTTACACAGAGCTTCACATTTTTGAGATGCTTTGCATTTGTTCCCAGACTACCACCAGAGGCCAGTATGGCCAGCAGAAAAGCTTTGCAAGAGAAGCATTTCTCCTAAATTGAGCTTCAAAATTAGTCAAAATAGCTCACAGAACCAACATGACAATTCAAATAGCCTAAGAAAACTCTAAAACTTGAACTATGTTACGGGTAAGACTTCAAATACAGAACACTTTGCCCACTAAAACCATCTTCCCTAATGCTTAGAATTAAGCAGAGATTCACTCCATGCTAAACAACTCCAGAATTTCAGTCCTATGGAACATAGGAGTAAAAGGATGACAGAGACACAACACAGATCATGGTTTCACTTATAACTGCTCATTTGGAAAGTAAATGCATATAAAAAATTACACATAGTTGTAAACAAATGACTGTGAAAGACCTTGACCCAGTATATGTGTAGCAAGTTTCAAATGGGCATCGTCACTAGAGAAGACATTGCGTAGTCTGTTGTTTTAGGATTGTTTTAGTGAAAGAGGGATATGCATATACATATATATATATATAAAAGTAAATAAATATGTACCCAAAAGGATGCCTGCCTGTGGCCCTCCTCCAAAACTCAAGGTCTGCTCTTCTGCCCCCTGACATTACTGCTGCAAGGGTGGCACGTGGCTGCAGTTTCGAGTCCATTAGTCTATTCCACTTCATTCCACAACTTTTGCCTGCTCAGCCACATGCAGGCTCAGTTATTCAAGCAAAACTATTTCTTACATTTTGTAAAGAACATTGCAAGAAACTTTGTCATGAATACTGTGATAAGCTAAGAAGTTAGCTTTATACTAACTGAAAGAAATATTAGATGTATTTATCAACACTTATCATAGAAAAAGACAAAAAATATTCTTAGAAGCTAAATATCAACACAATTATTTTTTAAAATAAATTGGTGTATCTGAAAGATAAATAATGAGATGGGTGACTGACTTGTTTTTGTAACAGGAACTATATATAAGTACTCTCTGACCCTGCTTGCCAGCAGGTTTATAGCAGTAATAAAATACTCTTTTATTACATTCATTGTGCTTTATACAAAGTTCAGACCAATATAAAAACCACGGACCCATGTCAGCTCTTATTGAGCTCAGCATTTTACTGAAAAAACGAATGCTTTTATAACACTACTCCCTTCAAAGATCAAATACCAACGATTTAGTTTCTTTTCTACATTGAACACATATGCCCAATAATATTCAGAGAGAATCTGAGGTAACTTAGCCTCACATCAGGCATATATCATTTGCTACTGCACAGTCCTCTAATTACATATGTGCAGGGTCCGTATACACAGCTCATTGTAACATCTCTCTCGTGGGAAATGTATGGACAGCCCAAAAATTGAGGGACAGACAAGCAGAGTCTGCATTCAGAAATATACTCAACTATATGAAAATTACTTACAGTACTCTTGACCTGGTAATATTAATTCTGAGAAATAAACAATTACAGTATCTAACAGGAAGGCTTCACCACACCTGTGTAGCAGGGCAGTCAATGAAGGATTTGCATATACTTAAAATGAAATCCTTAGGATAAAAATGGTTTAAATTATTCCAGATTGCAACTTGGTTCTAGAGCAAACAGGAAAGAGGATCTTACTGCATTTCACACTTATTTGCCTTACAGTTTTCTACCATTTACTGCTATTGGCCTTCCAAGAAAGAAGCTTTACTTATCAGAAGAACAGGAAAATGAAAGAAAATACAACTTATTTAAGTAATCGAACAGAACTATTCGTATTTTTTCAGTATAAGAGATTGTTTCATGTGACAAATCCCTCAAAAATAGATTCTGCTATAAGAATGTAGTTCACAATAATCACAAAGACATATTTTTATGCTGGAGCTTTCTACCTTATTGCAAAATTATTTACAAAACTCTTGAAAAACAACTCAAGCATAGCAGCTTGATCACGCAACACTTTTATATAAATGAAGGTTATGCAACAAAAAATTTACCTATGATCTGCACAAATAATGCTACATGCAGGGTCAGAACAAAACACTGCAAGAGCTGAAGCTGCCTCAGAGCTCATTCCAAACAGTTAACTCTCAACTCAAGCCCTTTCCCTGCACATGCTGCCAGCCATGCCAGAAGTAGGTCACTTGCCATATCTGGTAAGCCTGTGCTTACACCACCAGATGTCTTTATGCAGACATCAGAAAGTCTTAAAGCACGGTCTACCGCTCAACAGCAAATCTATAAAATCCTATACCTCACCCACCCCCCAATAAGTCACATCTAGCTAAAAATGTATGAAAATATTTTTACTTTAGCTTACCTTCAAGACATCTTACAATTTTACATTCTCTAAAAATAACTTTGAAGTCAAATGTTTGCAGACAAAACAGTATGTCTTATATTAATTTATGCTCTATTAGGCAAAATATTATTTACAATTAACCACCGGCTATAAATTCATGGAATACCCCAGTCCAGAGAACACATAATCAAAGAGAACAGAGGCAGCCTGTAACACAGACTAGACAGCAAACTGGCAAGAAAACATACAACAGTAAGCCAGTTATTTTGCTGATTATAAAATCAGACATAACTGGTATCTGCAAGTACACATTTTCCATTTGCTCACAAAAAAAGGTTAGGATTATACCTGTGTCGTCAGCCATAACATTAGTGCTCAATTTCCACCAACAGAGCGAGTGTGTCAGTATATCCAAAAATTAATGCTGAAGGCAGAATAAGAAATATCCTCACTGTTATCCGCCTGTTTGCAACAGGAGCAAACAGGTTTCCTAAAGCCAGCTCCGCTGGAACCTGAAACTGGACCCAAGAGAAACCTCTCCTCCAAATCTATTTTTAGAGTAGTTATCCTCAGGAGCCAAACGCTTTTCAGAACTCATATGGCAATCTAGTTCTGACGACAATGAAATTCACTTACTCCTCCTAACAGAGCATCCTGGGTAGCTGATCCTTTCCCCTCCCCTTAATCCTCCAACATCAAAAACAACAGCGAATGAAACCAAGCACATTGTGCTGTAGTACTTCTGCTGCAATTTGTGCCACAGTGCCTGATCTCTAAGGACATTAAATCCATTCGCATAAGCTGAAACACAAGTCTGGACACAAAGCTTGCCTGCTTGCATTTGTTACGTTGGCTCTCATCCAAAAAACTTTCTCCATGTTGGCACTTCCCTACCAGGCTCTGAGTATCCTGCAGAGACTGCTCATTTGAAACTTGCTAACTACTTTAAGAAAAAAAAGAGACAACTACTTTTAATAATGTAATTTTGAGTCTTCTACAAGAATTACTTGAAACCAACCTTGTGCATTCTTGTCAAGGAATGTTCATATCAGAAGTGTACACATTGTATTTACTTCTGGCAGACCATTTCGAGAAGAGGTTAACACTAAACTATCTCACTCACCCTTCCCTTAAATTCTGACTAAATGCATACTGCCTGTACAATTTAAAACTAATATCAATTAAATCACCTAGACACCCTCTTCTTAAGGACCAGAAAAACAGCAAAAACCCACTAATACACTTTTCAACTTTTTTTCCATCTTCAATTTTAGCAAACGATTATTTTCCCATTGCTTATCAAACAAAAGCCAGCTCCTTTTAGGTGGAAGTCAGAAACAAACTACATTTCTCATCCACTACAACCATAAAAAAACCTTTAGGATCCACCACTCTGTCCTGCTATCCCCATGCTTCTTTAAATAACACAGCTAGCAATTATATGGAGTGAACAGAAGAATGTTACAGCTACTCTGAAAAACAACACATATCTCCTGTGGTTTTAACATCCAGCAAATGCAATTCCCAAGAGTTCAAGGGAGAAAAACTGAGAAACAGCACTAGAGCTTGAGATTTTTCATATGGATGAAAAGGAACTACAGGCAGTTGATTCTATAACTAGTGTCTCTTTTAGCTATCTTTAAAGCCACTTGAATACATTAAATGGATCAGCTGCTTTAAGAAAGACCTCCTGACCAGTATATTTCAGTAACGTAAGTGATGCACAAGCAATTAAGCGCAAAATGGGGAGAAATTTACACAGAGTGAAAGCAACCAAACATGGAGAAATCAAAAAAATGTTCAAAATAATTTTACATGCAATTATATGTATTCTATTGTATATAAACAACACAGTGTTTTGACAGGCACCAGAAAAGGCAATTTACAGCCAATTCACTCCAGCTGCACCTGCATTTGCAGACACCAGATCTTACCACAAGTGCACTCATAAAGCATTTAACTAATGCTGGGAACCTCCCTGCCCATTGATATATATATTTTGGGGGGATTGGTCTAAACCAGACCTTACCTGGCTGAGTGCCCATAATGATTTCAGCACACTTTTTAGCACCTTTCACTCAGACCTAAGTTACCAAATTATATTCAGGGACAACAAGCACAAGGCTTATAAGTAAAGTGAGTTGACAGAATCAAGAAATTAATTTCAAATGTACACTCCAAATCTGAACTAACACATATATGTTGACCTCTAGCCGAGTACCCAGAGTTTGCCCTTTAAAAATTAATTGATTGCAAGAAAGACAAACATCTTCCTTCCTGAAAGGGGATGCTACAGCTAAAATGGGGAAATTCATCAAACTCATCAAAAGGAAAAAGGATCAAGAGAAAGATGGATCAA